ACATATACATACATATGTACATGCACATATATATTTTACACCCTCATCAGCATAACAAAAAAAATTGATTAACCTCTCAAACATCATCTTCATATTTTTTTGACAATTTAACTTTTACCATTTTACCAAATAAATTAATCGAGTCAGCATTTTTATAATCGCTGTCCAAGTTATTCCACAATCTTATTCCTTGAACTGAGGTACATCTATCCTTCAAGTTTGTTCGAATTTTAGGTTTTATAAACATTTCAAATCCTTTCAAATTATAACAGCTTTCCCTCTTAACAAAATTAGATTGAATATTCAAAGGCAAAACATTTTTATGAGCCCTATACATAATCAACAAAATCTTATAATCAACCAACACATAAAATTTTAGTAATTTCAATAACTGAAACAATACATTAGATGGGTGACTATAATGTTTTCTGGTAACAATTCTTATTGCTCTTTTTTGCAGAATAAGAATAGAATTTGTAAATGTTTTACATGCCTTACACCAAATTTCAACACAATAAAGCTTCACACGTGAACAGGAATCTAAGCGTTTAACTTTGACATGTTTTGGTCATTTTCTGTTTCTGGTGGAAGCTGTGAATTAGCAAACCAACCGGAAGAAGCGTTGTTCTGTCTTTATAATCTAATTTTATAACGCCCACATCTTTTCCCTGAGTTGCCATGGTTTCAGTGTGGTTTTAAACACAGCCAGAATAACAAAGAGGAAATTTCACGATTAACGTTTTTTTTCCCACCTTGTGAGTGTCAGGGAGCAGCTCTGTGACCTTGACGCAAAGACAAACGTCTCCTCCTGTGACTTGATTTAAACTGATTTATTCCATACATCACAGCAAACAACACAGACTCATCATTTCACAGCAGACATGCAGATATTAGTTTGGCATGTATTTGATAAGTAAAAATGGTTAAAAGATTTAATTCTGTTTTTTGTTTGCAGCTGGTAAAATGCTGGAACTGTAATAAAAATACAGTCTCTCTGCTGCACAGTCGCATACTTTCTCCTACTCTGACACCTGCTGGTCATCGTTGGCTTTTCCTGCTCATTTTTTGTATTTTGAAATAAAAGGACTTCAGAATTTAATCTAAATCATGAATATAATTGCTTGAATGAAGGCTCAATTGAGAAATATTTATCTTTCTTTTCATTAAAAGTACTACTATATTAATACAAATACTGCTGGTTTCTTTYCCTCTGAAAAGCATCAGGAACATGTTAGTATTGCAGCAGCTGCTGATTGAAGCAAAAATAAATCATTTAATATTTACATTTACAAACGGGTAAACTTTAATTTATAAAACACAATTATAGAAAAGAAGAAGTAAATTTTGTTCAAAAATGTATTTGTAATTGTTGGCTGTTTGAGATGAAAACATGTAAGATTTTTTTATTATAGTGAGCTGCCCAATAAATGTGAGAAATGACTATATTTCCACTGCAACACGCTGATGTATTATAAAAAAAACAACCTGATGATGAAAAATAATCATCTATGATCTCACATTTGCTTCTGTTAATTACCTTATGACAATAATTCAGGACATGGAGCTTCTCATTTCCTCCTTATTCACCGTGTGTTCAGTGTTCCTGATGCTGACTCATTTTTGCTCATTAAAATCTGCCCAGTTGAGAAGGTGGCCGTGCTGTGTCGCTTCCTGGACATCGGTGCCGTGACCAAAAACCACCTGCTGAAGTACTCCTTGGCCCACGCTTTCTGCTGYTTCCTGGCCTCGGTGGAGGACGTCAACCCATCGGTGGCCACCAGGGCCAGACTGCTGCTGGACACCATCAAGAGACCCGCTCTGCAGGTGACCTGAACGCGGCAGAGTTTTAATGCAAATGTTGAGGTGATCCTGGAATCAAACTGACAGGTTTCATCAGCTGTGGGTGGGGCAGAACTGAGGTTGTGAAAATATCAATCACCAAAATAAGTCCTTTTGAATAATTTAAACTTAGTAAAACTCAGTTCTTCTTTTTTCCCCTCCTTTTTCAAATGAGTTTGTAATTATTCATGTTATTCATTTTAGTATTTTGATAAAAGGATAAAGGTTGAACTCGATTTAAGGCCCTGTTTCACTAGACAACTTATGCCAACTTATGAACATTTTAAAGACATCTACGTTGAAGATGTAATTGAAAAAAATCAACTGGAAACTTTTTTAGGCATACATAATGCAATTTTAACAAATTGATCGAATATATAAATTTTATTAGCAATTTGTATCTTAAAAATGTTTAATAAGTTGCCATAAGTTGTCTAGTGTGACAGGGTCTTTAGTAATGAGGAATGGGGTGGGGCTCATATTTGCTTGGACGTAAGAAAGTGGGGCTTTGAGGAAAAAAAAGGTTGGATTCCATTGATCCGGTTTAACAGTTGGGAGAGTTTAAGTATCCATGCATCTTGCTCTTATGGTGGAATGGAAGGGGGGGCAGATTGAGGTAATGAGGGCGTTGCTTCAATCGGTTGTACTGAAGAAAGAGTTGAAGGCAAAGCTTTGATTTTCTGGTCCGTACGTTCCAACCCTCGCTTATGGGCACGAGTTATGGAATATGACCAAAAGAGCGAGATCCTGGAAACAAACAGCTGAAATTAGCTTCCTTTGTAAGATGTCTGTGGATGAGGGACGCGATAATCTGCGGGGAGCTCAGAATCAGACCCAGAACTAGCTAGAGGGATTATACACCCATTTGTCTGTTAAGCTTTGAAATATTACTGATGCATTAAAAAGTCATTAAAACTCAGAGCCAGGTAGTTTCAAGCTGTTTAATTGGAGAACTATGACTTGTGTTTTGCAGGGCTTGTGCTTGTGCCTGGATTTCCAGTTCGACACAGTTGTGAGGGATCGACCGATCATCCTCAGCAAACTTCTGCTGTTGCACTTCCTCAAGAAAGACATTCCCGCTCTTAGCTGGGAGTTTTTTGTCAACCGCTTCGAAACCTTATCTCTGGAGGCTCAGCTGCATCTGGACTGCAACAAAGAGTTCCCCTTTCCCACAAGTAAGTTCTCATTCAGGTTTTTCACTGGTCATGTAGTATCCACGTTTGAATTATTATTATTATTATTATTATTATTATTATTATTAATTTATTTATTTTGGTCAGCCATCACCGCTGTTCGAACCAATGTGGCCAACCTCAGCGACGCAGCCATGTGGAAGATACGACGGGCTCGTTTTGCCAGGAATCAGCAGAAGAGTGTGCGTTCTCTGCACGACAGCGTGAAGGGAGGCCAGGCAGAGTCCAAACGAGCATTTTCACTCCCAGAGTCGCTCAGCAACCGACTTCGTGAGTAGAAGGAACAGACAGCCCTTCTGAATCCAAACCTTTGTGTTTTCCCTTTCACCTGTGGTCAAACAAGTTTTGTGAAAATGCTGCTGAATCAGCATTTACTGTATGGTATTCCTAGTATTATTTTTACTTATTTTAAGTATTTTTTCTTTACAGTTTTTGCAATCTGTAAACTTTGTGCTCTTATAGTTCTTCATATTTCAAAGCGTTCGGCTCATTGAGAAGACTCTTAGCTTTTGTAAAAAAAGAAATAAATATTCAAAATATTTAACATTATCTACAAATATTTTCCGTTTATAAATACTTCGAGATCTCTTTTAGCCTTTGCCTATTAAAACATTTAACTAACCYTTTCCTTTTTATAGAAAATATTGTGCTACTTTTTGCTAGTTTTTACATTTTTAGCATAAATACCAGCCTTCTGCTTTTAGTTAACCATTTGTGACAGTTTGTAGGTGTTTGCTACAGTTAGCTTTAAATTAACCATTTGCTACTTTTGGATAGCCATTTGCTAAATATAACTTCTAGCTAACATTTAGCTGTTTTTAGTAAGAATTTTGCTACTTCTAGCTATTTTTTGTTGCTGCCATTTTAAACATATATCTTTCTGTTTGCTACATTTAGCTTGTAGCTAGTCTTTTGCTACTTTAATGTTTAGCTTATCTTCCTACTTTATCTTTTTGCAGCCTTTAGATAGAGTTTTGCTTTTTTTAGTTGTTACCTAGTGGTCAGCATATTTTAGCTTTTGTAGCTTTCTGCTTTTATAAAAGCACAGTTTCAGCTTTTATAACACATTTCAGCTGAGACAATCAATCCTCAGCATTGCAGTTTCACAGAAAATGAAATTTCTCTCGGTGTGGTAAACAAGTTTTGTTTTATTTTAGTCTCTCATATGTGCTCAGTAGACATAACATCACAGGCAACATATGTATATAAAAATTGTTCAAAAATGTAAAAACTCCTAACGTGTCAGCGTAAATACAACTTAAAACATAGGATTTTCCAAAAGAAGTCCACAAAACATCACACTTGGTGATCTATTTACTGAGGAAGTTTGTGGTGATAATTCTCTCACGGTCCGTGTGTTTGCATGTTATCATGTCAGTATGTCACGTGACCTTCCTGTGCAACAATGACCGCACCAAAACAAACTCAAACAGTTGACTTTATAATTATCTTAAAGTCCAGTTTTAGTCTCATTCTTACAGAAACTTCAGACAAATTAACTTCAGGGTGTTTTGCAGAGTGACTTTCCTGCCACACACACACACACACACACACATACACACACACACACGCACTTGTTTTTCTGTCTCCTATGTGTGAACTCTCACGAATCCTTGCCAATAAGAGCTTGCATATATACTTGTTTTCCTGTTTGTGTTTTTGTATCCACACGTGTTGTTTGATCATCCTCCCCTGTGCATTTCCCTAAATTGTGCTCTTCATATGTGGTTTTTAGCTCTAAGGCTTACAAGGCAGGAGCAATCTGCCCCGACACTTGGAGATATGATAGAGAAGGTCCTGCCAGGTAAATAATGACCGAACATGTAAAACATACAATGTCACTTTTCACAGCTGCATGACATTGGAAGAAAAGCGCAGACTGATTGTCGGGAAAACTATGAAATTTCTAAGCGGAAAGCAAATATTTTATGAWTATGCCATCAGGTTTTAACTCAGTTTGCCACAGAAAGTGATAAAAGAAAATGTCTCACACTTAGCACAGTTATCAGGTCCTTTTTGTGTGTGTGTGTGTCCCATTTTCCATAAACTCCCTGCATTGATCTATGGATATTGCATGATGTTTCCATATCCCTTAACAGGACGAGTTGACTCCCRCACCTCTAAGCTGCTACCCTTCTCCCCGCTATTGCACCCTACCCTCTGCCCCTCCCTCTGTAGCGCGTTTCCTCCTGCACTTTAACCCTGACGCTTCAGCCCCTCTCGCAGGCCAGACTCCCTCCCCTGAAGACGACGCGACAATCAGAGACCTGCTCCCGGAGAATGCGGGCATCGATCACCAGACCGTTCACCAGCTGATCATGGTGCTGATGAAATTCATGGCCAAAGACCAGAGCAGCGCCGAGGCTGACATAAGCAGCGCCAAGGCCTTCAACACGGTGAAGCGTCACCTGTACGTGCTGCTGGGCTACGACCAACAGGAGGGCTGCTTCATGATCGCGCCTCAGAAGATGCGCACCTCCACCTGCTTCAACGCCTTCATCGCTGGCATTGCACAAGTGACTGACACCTAGAGTTTATCTTTATGTTTTTTTCTGTTTGTTATCGTACTGATACTGTGAACTTTGTGAATTATGACTGTGTTCCTTTAGGTTCTGGACTACAATATTGGTTTAGGAAAGCAGTTACTCCCCCTGGTGGTCCAGGTGTTGAAGTACTGCGCTTGTCCTCAGCTGAGACATTATTTTCAGCAGCCGCCCCGATGCTCTTTGTGGGCTTTAAGGCCACATATTCGACAGATGTGGCTCAAAGCTCTGCTGGTTATCCTCTATAAGGTAAAACRAATGAATGAATGATTTTATTTGTTCGGGAAAGTGTGCAATTAAAACATAATTTGATGCATTGCACCAGATTTAGCCTAAGGCTAATTTACATCTGCAGTCCCATCAAACAGCAAAACAACATCCAACAGTAAAATAGAAATAAAAGAGGAAAAAACAGAAAAATAAAAATAACATAAACTAAAACATTTTGCAATTAAAAAATACATAAAACACCCCACCCCACTCTCCAAACATAAAATCCTGCCCACCTCCATCCCACCCTCCAACCCACACAACCAGAAGCAACTCTAAAATCGATCACCCAGTGCAATTCAATGATTGCAACATTGGGTAGATTTAAGATATTTTTAAGATATTTTTAAAACTAATAAAAGAACTACAAGTTTTTACATGATCGGGAGCAGCGTTCCACTGAGCGATRGCTTTAACCAAAAAAGCTGCTTGTCCAAAGGCTGATCGTTGAGCAGGAACTTCACAGTTCTGCCTGGATGTTCTGGTTAAGCGCAAAGAAACAGCTGAACGATAATAAACTAATTTTTGCAAACAGATTTGCGCTAAACAGTTTAAAATTTTATATACTGTTTCCATA